GTGCTTGATTTTCAGTTTCGATTTCGGTTGAGAGTTTTCATACCTTTAAGTCAAAAATCTAGTTTTGATGTTGAAGACTGTTGATTATCAGGACGACTAAGAAATATATATGTAGAGGTGTCATGGTTGAGTTGTTTAAACACTTAACTTGGCATTCAAATGCCGTTGGTTAGTTCCTCGACACGGAACTAATGTCCTTTGGCAAGGCATTAATCTATGTTTGCCACTCCATACCCCGGAGAGAGATGGGGACCTGATAGGATGACGAAATCACTTTTGTTTGTAATTGCCTATGCCCTCATGGTGACCATATGGTAGGAATACTCCCCAGGAAATGAAGATGGTGTACATTGTGCGTGAATGTATCCGATGACCGGGGTAATAATATTTGTAAAGCGCTTTATAAATCCAGATTATTATTATTTTAAATATATGCTGTCTTTGCATAAATCGGGTTTGAAATCACACACACACACACACACACGCACACGCACACACGCACGCACACGCATGCAGACAAGCTCAGAAACTCATATCTGTCATGATCCAAAATCAACATTTTAATTGTTAATATATGAATAAAAGCCTGTTTATCTCTCCTTCTAATGGTGCCTAATTAAACAAAAATGTGTTATTGTCATTCGGGGATGGCTGGTCCGAAGTAATATTTCGAAGAAAAAATTGTCTTCATTTTTACAAGAAGTTCTTTAACAAACTACTTTCCAAAAAAATTGTGAGTCACCGATTGAATTGTGTGAACATGCCAATGACGTATTACGTAATTACGTAATCTAAACAGGATTTCTATGGGACATACAACAGGGTATTGAAATCGCCCATGCGTTGAGATTTCAAAAGCAGTTGCGATCGTGATTCGACTGAGGCCAATTTATATTATCTATTTTCTCACTATTAAATTATATAAAGTCACTTTTAATGAATACAAAAATGAAAACCATGTTTAACGAATGGCGCTATAATCAGTAGCGTCGATGTACAAGAAGAGCTACTTTTTTGGATGAAAGAACGGGTATATAATATGATAAGATCAACTCCACTTCAGAAGCTCCTCGTTTGGCGCCGATTAGGATTCCTTCCCGTAAAGCGATTCCATATAGCAACTCTTGACATTAATCAAACGTTCAAGGTCAATTCAAAGTGTGGAGTCAAGAAAAGATGGCGAGTATAATACAAGAACTCTCCTACTAATCATAGAGGGGGCTTGAGGGAGAGTACCCCCCGAAAAATTCTACAAAAGAAAGTAGAAAGTGATAAAGAATCAAACCTCCATTCTGCATACCCATGTCCCTATAGTTGACATGACCCCAAAGGGGAAGATAGATTAATAAACAACCTCTGTATATTTGATTGCTAGTTCTCAGACAATGGAAGCCTGTGAATACTGTCAGAGTAACCCGCCCTTCCATTCTACACAGCCCTGTTCCCAGCTTCATTTCATTGAATATTTGAGTGTAAGCAAGGGACTGGTTAAAGAGATTATTATAGCCAGGGAAACTGAAAGACAAAGGAGACTGTTGACGATTGTCATGTTTAATTACGTTAGTAGGACTATTTTCAGCCCCGTTGTTTACGGACAAAATATCAATTGAAATTGCCTTGTACAGCTCCCAATGGGAAAAGGTTATCCTAATTTGTGTTAAGTGTTTAAAAAGTCGAAGTAATTATTGGACTACTTTAATATGTTGTTATGTTTCGTAGTATAGATCGAGGGGCTCGCTCAAAGAGTATATGAAGAGTAAGAAGCAGATGCAGAGAGGAGGAAGGAAAAATCCAGATGAGAACTGAGCCCCAACAAAAACAATCAGAGGCTGAAAAGCCAGGCATCACGACTAGATACCATCTACTCGACCTCTTTCGGGGCTGAGCGATTGAAATTCAGAAAGTTATGAATTTTGGCAGGTGCTATTAATAAAAAAAAAAAATAGCAACTCTGTGACAAATCTTGCGAGCTCCCTGTACTAAATCTACTTCAAAAATTCATATTTTCCCTTAAGAAAGTCTTCAATCATACACTTACCTTAAATACGATTATTGCAAAAAAAAATTGTATAAAACGCCTGTATGAACAAAGATCTATTCCGTCATCAATTACAAAGAAAATGAAAGTTCATGACATGTTTCCGAACAGAGCAAATTGAAGAGGAACTCGCAAATTACGTCATATTGACGCCAGTTTCACTGGCAACTTTAACAAAATCATAACCTTCCAATTTGTAGTTGGATATTGCTCAAAATTGTACTAATATGTCCCTCTCATTTTTCTGCTTTTGTTTAAACCAACTTAATATCACATGAGACTTCCCTTTTAAACGCTATTCAATTGTGAATATAATTATCACGACGACAATTTTATGCGTTTCAAATTTGGATGTACATCAGTTATTATCCCTTTCTTTGGTTGACATAATTTTTATGGTCAGTATGTAACAAATTGCTTTTCTTTTTTTACCTTAATTTTGGAGACAAAGTTGGTTCTCCCCGTTCTATTTTTTGTTATCCTGTATTATGCTCTCACCTCCCTTTGTTCCCTCCTCCTCTCTTTCTTGTTATCCTCTCTCTCTTTCTCTCTCATTTTCTCTCTCATTCTCTCTGTCTCTCTTTCTTTTTTCTCTTTCTCTCTCTTCTCTTCTTATAGAACCCTCTCTTTCTCTTTTTTTCCCTACTCTCTCTCTCTCTCTCTCTCTCTCTCTCTAAATAAATAAATAAAATGTTAAACATGATAACGTGAGTACTGGAATTTCGGTATAAATTGCTCCGATAGTTATCAATTTTCCGTGTTAAAGGTACTATGTCCCATTTGCAGGCCAAAAAATGAAAAAGTTAAATTCCAACTGCATTTGAAAGATAATACTAATTTAGAACTTCCCTAAAAAAGTTGGGGCTTGAAAATGTCTTCTAGTGGGAAAATAACGACTATTAGTTGTCAAATCGACTTTAGGGCTATAGAACCCAAAAGTAATAGTCTTGATTTTCAGACAATTGTACCGAATGGTCATACGTTTTATGCTGTGCAAAGATTCAATCAGTTTAATCTTGGCCATCACAAGAAGTGGGTTATTGATGTAGACAACTCTTTTCATGTATGTTATTACCAAAGAAGAAAAAAAGCCAGTCAGACACTCAATAGTGTCTGACAGTGAAGTCTAGCAAGTAAACGGGTTTCCTTGCATAATTCGAATATGAGGACACTGCTAACGTTTAAATTTCACAGATAGGACATACATGACATATTCATAATTCCTGCAAAGTTCTACAGCAATTGAGGTTGACTGCAAAAGGGACATAGTACCTTTAATGGCTGATTTAAATAAAAAGGTATAGAGACTAGACCTCCTCACTCAAAGGTCACTATATTGTTATATAGGCCTGCAAACCAGTCCTGAAGTTCTGAGCCATCAACTTTTGTTTCTCATAACACATGATGGCGCTATCTTGAATTATATTCTTCGGAAAGAGAGAAATTGTCAATAATGTGTAAGTTTATACAGAGCAAACTGATATCTGATTATGACAAGAGTATTATTCCCTTTACCAAAATATTTTCTTATAACTCTCATCAAAGAACATTCATACTTTTCACAGCTACATACATACCAGTCTATGAAACAACGAAATAGCTGTGATTCTGATTAAAAATGTAATATTCGACATCAGCCTAAAATACACTCATGTTCTTTTTTCTCAACCATTAATGTATGAACTATGAAATACAGTCATACCATATTCAGATACATAAAAGCTTCTCTACAAGAAATAGAGCCACGTTCTATTTAACGTGTTTAAACACGTCATTATAATGTTCATGCATGATATGAAGATTTGTGCAATGTACAAAATACATTTGAAGAAAGTTGCACTGTTCGTTGATCCTTCCATAATGTTCTTAATTACTAGATTAGTTTTGGGGAGTTCATACCATACAAATATAACTTATCTGATGTTAAATAGGGTTATCCGCAAAAACTTCGGAGTACATCCAAAGACAAGGGTATAACAATTACATTCTGATTTCATATTTTAACTTTAAGTAAAATTACACAATATCAAGAGTGTGCATTTATTTATCAGTGTATTTTTCAACTAATGCTTTTTCTGTCATTCATTTTATGCCCATAATAACTTTTTTGAATTTAAAATGTATTGGCTTCTTGTTTGTTTTTCTTTAGGTTTTATACGGCACTCCCGACACAAAAGCGTTTGCTCTTTAAACATGTCGCCGCCTGTAATCTAATTTCACTGTATATTTTCGAACATAATTTAAGAGAGAGAATAAATATATATATTAATACTAATGCTAGTACTAATACCATTATATAATAATGAAAATGAGAACATAATTACTAATGATAATAATAATAGCAATAAAAAGGAAGACAAAATGTAGGGGCAATGGCACCTGTATCATCATCATAATCACAAAAGTATAAGAGTTAGGATACACTAATAGATATATAACAATAATCACAATAAGTACATTTATCTAAGCGCACAAGTAGTACTGTCTAACTCAGTATAATTATTCAACATGTTTAATAGCTTAAAAGTAGAACTAGAATAAAATGTTACTAATACAATACAATTAAGTTGACTGGAATTAACTACTTGTGTGCGCCTCCAGTATAATTTAACTGATTATCTTGTTTCTCCATACCTCGATTCAAGTTACAGAATTAAGCATTTAGGCCATTTAAAAGAATAAACATGTTTAGCGTACCCACCTGCTTCCTTTTTGGGGGGCCGCCTCCTTTTCTTTCTTTTTTTGATTTTTTTAAATGAAATGTTTTAATTAAAAAAAAAAAAAAAAATTAAAGAAAAAAAACATGAAAAAAATGTTAAAATGGATGTATTTCTGATTTTAAAATATAAAAAAATGTCGGCGGCCATCTTGAAAAATGGCCGGACTGTCAGGTAAATGTACCGAGCGGCCATTTTGAGCGGCCACTTTGAAAAAAAGGGCCTCCTCCTTCCTATTTTTCAAAAAAAAAACAGGACGCTAAACATGTTTTGTTTTTTTGGCCTTACTATTTACATGTAGAATGATATTCGAAACATAAAGAGGTTATTCCATTTCGGAGGGGAGGAGGGAGTGTGTTCCACACTTCAGGGCCAGAACTTGAAAGCGATCGCCTTCACGGCCCAGGATTGACGTGAACGTGGGATGCAAAGAAGTTAGGTGTGAGCAGAGCGGAGTCGTCGTGGTGGTTCGTAGGTCTTGTATGTCGGAGGGTGCAGTGCAATGAAAAGCTTGATAGACGAGAAGAATGACTTTGAAGATGATACGCTGGCGGTCAGGAAGCCAGTGCAGTGCCTGATGAAGGATGGGTGAGATGTGAGTGGTGCCTGTAGTGAGAGCTACAAGTCTGGCCACTGAGTCTATGGAGTTGTGGGAGGCGTTGTAGCTGACTAGCTGGTAGTCAGGAAGATGTATTAGAAGAGAATTTTAAAGTCTTACCGGAAAGGAATAAGAGAATGAACCAAGTCCAATGTTTCAGTAAACTTACGCGTCAGGTCAGCAGGGAGGTGAGACAAATTTTTGTATGTGCAAAGGTTGCAGAGTTGGAATCTGAATGGCTATACATGTGTGGGATATATTATGATTTAGACAGCGTGTCCACACACAAAACAATTTATCGCGAAACTCTTTAACGAAACGTCGTATAAAAAAATCATCGTATAAATTTCAAAGTTTCCCCACACAAGAAACGTCATATAAATAATCATCATATAAATTCAAGGATGTCCATATTATAAAACAGAAGAAAGTAATCCTGAAACTCTACAGTCTGGTCTCCTTTCGCTCGAGGTCACGTTAAGCCCCGCCCAGTTAGTTACACTAGTTACACTGTCATGTTCGAATCGATGAGAACATCGAGGTTCCGGCATTTATTTGCAGGCCAGGGCTGATTTGAGCATCACAAATTGTATATGAAGTTTTCCGGGATGTTTTTCAGCATTACCTTTGAGCCTATAAAATAATGAATTCAGATTTCTCTCCTTTGAGCTTTAGATTACAACCGAATATTCCGCTTCCTTCGAAGTTACGACGTGTTTACCTGCGGCATTGTCCGCCATGTTTTCGTAGATATCCTCCGTTACCATGACTACTGGGTTGTCTCTGGTATTCATGTTGACATACTCTGCTTGTAGCATGGTCCCTCTCTTCATTCGGGGCGTTAAATATTCATTCTCGATCTCACCTTGCTGGTCGTTCTTAAAGATATAAAATGATAGTAATATCCAATATTTAGAGGCGTTAAATTAAAACCAATACACAAAAATACCAAAGCAAAAATACCAAAGCAAAAATAAAAAGCTTACAAAGAATAATAAAATAAGCATAATAGAACCATTATTGAGAACATAATTAAATCAAATCATTTATATCACGGAAGGGGGGGGGGGGAGGGAGGTGACCTTTTAAAAAAAAAGACGAGTTCTTATTTTGAGTTACTGATGAAAAGTGCGACGTCGTTCCACATATTCGATGCAGCCACTTTAAAACATCTTTCAGTTGATGAGGGTCTGAGTTTGGGAATGATCATTTTAGTTCTGTCAGTTGCAGAGCGACGATAATTATATTATGGAGGTTTTTATTGATGCCAAACAAGACAAATTATTTAGAATTATGAAGACATACATCTTACAGGCAGACATTACAAAGAATGTATTGATAAAGAGGTATCCCGTGGATTTTCTAATCGAAGATGAAGTATGAGTCCTGGGGGTGTTTCACAACGACTGAAACCAACTTACAATAATATTTCTCTCACCATTTACTGGCATTGGTCTCTCAATTAAGGGACGTACGTTCAAATTATGGTCTCAAATCTACAGAATGTACTTTTTTATCATCAATTATTGAAGGAAAAAATATTATCTAATGATTGCGAGACGAATGGTGAGAGCAACCAGTGGAATGAATGGCCTGCCATAGTTAAGTCCAACTTAGAGGCGATCTTAGTTTTTGTGAAACATCCACACACCCCCCCCCCCCCGGATTCTTGGTCAATTTGTTTTTTAGCGGCTCGATTCTGGATATTTTACCTCCATGTTCATGCGCAAAGAGTCACTGCCAGAAGCTTCGGGAAAAGCCAAAGTCGTAGTCTCGTACCCAGGAGGTGGTGCTTCTTCACCTGCCATCTCCTCGAGACCGGAACCATTGTTTGGGTCTTGTTGCGGCTTGCACCTAGTAAGGAGAGAGGCAATAAGTAAGGAGAAGAAACAATACTTGTCAGCTATCATGGCCGGGTAGGCTTATTTTCACTGACTGAATTATTTCACCAATATACTGTTTGCAAATAATGATTAACAGTTTGGTTTTTGTCAGAGAGTTTATCTGGCTGTATTTTCTTTTCTTCCCCCCAAAAAGTTGTTTTACCTCGCTTTTAACATTTTGAAATATGATGTGACCTTTTTGAAAATGGAGGATGAACCTCTTGCAAAAAGCTTATAACTGCCTATTTAAAGCTTTTTGACGTAAAGCTATGGTCACAAATCAGAGCGGCGACCGACCGATTAGTAGCATGCTCGGTCGCCGCTGGAATTTAGGCATCGCCCTGCGATCAGGCGAGCAGGCTGTAGAGCGCCTGCGATGCCTGGGCGGTGCCCTGTCGATTTCCCGTCGGTCGCCGCTCGATTTTTGGCCAAAACTGGGCGAAATCGCGGAGCTTTTCTGCGCGGTGTCCCGGCAGTGATGCCAGTGACCGACCGGTGACCCACCGATTCCCGAGCAGTCTTCCACCGGCCGCCGGCTGATTTTAAAGATATTGCATGGCGGCCGGCCAGTGACCGGCGGGGCTCTAAAAATACGCTCGGTGCCCGGCCGTTCGCCGCCCGTGCAGCGAACTAATCGAGCGTTCGCCGCCGATCGATTTAGGTCAAAAATCGAAGCCGCTAGGTCGAAGGCTGCCGACCGATTTTGAACTCACCGCCCAGTGACCGACTGATCTCCCAGCGGCGACCGGGCGGCGACTACTCGAAAGCCTTTGACCTAGCGGCTTCGATTTTTGACCTAAATCGCTCGACGGTGATTAACGCTCGATTAGGTCGGCGCCCGGGCGGCGAACGCCCAATCTCCGAGCGTAGTTTGGGCGGGGAGTGAAAGTTAGCAGGCGCCGCCCGAATTTTAACTCCGCCCAAAAACTTCAGCAGCGACCGAGCGATGCCTAAAAAAAAACGGTGCCTGGGCGGCCGCCGCTCGGTGGCCGAGCAAAATTGGCTAAAAACTCGCCGCTCGGCCGCCGAGCAGGCTACTTTTGGGTAATGTGTCCATAGCATGACACTGATGATTGATTGAAATTGAATTCTCATCTGTACCTGAAATTTACATTTAAAGGACTATTTATAACCTTAGAATGTAACCATACTCACTTGCATCTATAAACGAGAATGATGATAATGATGCATACTACCACTACTGCTGCTGCTACTCCACCGCCTATAGCTGCATACGGAGCTGTGTGTAAAACAAGTATCTAGCATCGTTACCATTTACCAAAATATCCATGCATATATTGGGAGAACAGTAAATACAAAATGTAATTGAGTCCAGAGATGGAGGTAGAGCATGTAGAGAATATGGCACCGTAAATTCCGACTCTCCTTTTTCTTCTTTCACATCTATTTTTCCTTGCTCGCCTTGGAATTTAAGGTTTAAATAAACGGCAATATAAAAATCATCATCATTATTATAATGAATGGATGCTCAGTACGTTTACCTTGCCTTACTTTATTATATGAAATACCCGGAGGTATCAATTATAACCCAATTAAAAACGTCTAGTTGCGATAGTGTATATAACGTGATTAACAAACAATAACAATAATAATAATAATAGTTAGCTCTTATATAGCGCATTTAATTACCGAAGGTAATACCAATGCGCTTTATAAATGTAGAAGACAATAAAAATAAAGACAAAATATATAATCACATATGTTTGCCACCCCTTTATGTTAAATGAAAGCTTATTTATTATTATCCTTATCATATTGTATTGCTACAAAGGCCGCTGGCCAATGTAAGCTCCGAGAATAACGAAATTGATTTGACTTTAAGTGATTGAAGAATCCTACATCTTCTTTCTAGTCACGTGAAAGCAAAGTGAGGGAGAATAGTCAGATAATTATATACTAATTATGAAAATGACATTTACATTCTATTAAAGGAAGTGGTTGAATTACCTGTCGAGCTAGTAGGTGTGTGTGATTTGGACTGGAAGTTAGTGCTAGTTGATTCAGTTGATGGTTGTGTTACAGATGAAACTGTGTTTTGAAGAGGGAGAACATTGGATAAGATCGCAGTGACTTTCAAGAAATGAACCTGAGACAATTTCATTAGCCCGAAGCCCACCGGACACTATAAGATCTGACTTGATTATGATTTTTGGAATAATTTACAGTAGCATTTCATATGACTCTTCTTCTTCCACCATGCACACCTTTTTTTTTCTTCTTTTGTGCCTCGGAATAAAAATGTTAAATAAACGGCACTTTACAAATCCTTATCATAATCATTTGTTATTTCTATCATCATTATTAGTATCATCATCTTTATGATAATGGTTTCATTTACCTTGCCTCATGTTCTACTTTTTTAATACGAATTACCCGGATGTATCAATTATAACCCAATTAAACACGTCTAGTTGCGATCATATAAACAGATTTCTCTTTTATGATCACATTATGTTTCCTACTTTGTGTTAAATGAAGAAAGAAAAATAATATTATTATTATCGATATCATTATTATAATTGTTATTGTTAGTATTAAAATATACATTACAAAAGGCCCCTGGCAAATAAAAGCTCCGATGATGACGAAATTGAATAGAGTTGAATTTAATTGACTTGAACTGAGTGAAGAATCCTACCTCTTCTTTTTAGTCACTTGGCAAAGAAAAATCATACCGAGTATTATATATCCAAGGTACATGGAACAAAATTGGGGGTGAAATATAATCTAGTGAAATCTGAGATGTTAGATATATTATAATAATGAAAATGACACTTACCTTCTAAGGAAGTGGTTAAAGTGGTCGAAGTGAATGATTCAGTTGATGGCTGTTTTGTTACACGCGGATCTGTGTAATTTGAAAATGGAGTACATTGAATAAGATCGCAATGACTATTTAAAGAAATGAACCTGAGACGATTTAATTAAAGCCCATTGTCTATATGATCTTACTATGATCCGATTTTTGATTAATTGCAATAGCATTTCATATGGACATTCAAACATGTAAAATCTTAATGACCGATTATCTGAACCTCCAAGGGACTTAATGCTTCCTCGGAGGAAGGGTGGCTAAATCAGCTTAAAGTCGCAGTGACGTCAGAACAGTAAAGCAAATATGTATTTTGAAGCCGAATTGGCTGTAAATCTTAGTAGAAAAATTAAATGCACTAAAATTCCTGTTGTTAGCATTATCAATATTATTCACAAATTAGATCATATTGTATGATCCGATTTTTGATTAATTGCAGCAGCATTTCATATGGACATTCAAACGTGTAAAATCTTGATTACCGTGAATCTGAATAGTCATATGATTAATAAAATGTAACTTCCAAGCGAGTTCATGCTTCCTCTGAGGAGAAGTGGCTAAATCGTGGCTCACAGTGACGTCAGACCAGTGTGCCGATTATATATATTTTGAAGCCGAATTGGCTGTGAATCTTAGTAGTAAAATGAAATGCACTAAAATTCCTGTTGTTAGCATTATCAATATTATTCACAAATTAGATCAGGAAAATAATATTAGCTTAGACTTCCATATCTGATATAATTATAATTACCTAGAAAATCGATCGCAGGAGGATCGTAAAGTTTGCGATGGGCGTCATATTGACATGGTCGTGCGAACATGAAATATATATTATACGTAATCCGGACAGGGTTTCAAAAGGCAATGAAAAAGGGTACTGACTACTGACATTGCACTTTAGTTTGTTTCTTGAAAGTATTTCCTATCGTGTTAGAATCACATCTCTATTACGATTTATTTAAATGGGGTTTTATTAATTCAGTCGTTCTCTTTAGATTCATAACAAGTTAGATCTTTTGTAGATTAAACTTTGTGGCATTACGTGCACCTATACTTCTAGTGTAATGTATCTTTCAAATACTTACCTATATATGTTGTTTCATCTATTTGAATGTTGTATACTCTGATCAGAGGAACTTCACCACCCCTTATGGCAATGAAAGTTATCTGCAATAATGAAGAAGGATTTAAAAACAGGGGAGAACAACCATGCCTTTTCTTTTCGGAAATCTCCTGTTAGACATTGCTGTGAGTGATCTTCAATAATATTCACAAACGGCGTTTTAAAGTAAATCTAAAACACATGCATGAATGTATAGATATTATATAAAGACCAGGTTAGCTTCGATAGCCACACAATTATCAACACGTTTTAAAATAGTTATAAAACCTTTTAACCACTGCACTGTATAGATCCATGAAATCTATACAAATGTCATGATATATTGTGCAATACAAATAATAATTAATGTGGTCCACGATATGATTATGTTTAAATCTTATCTAAACGTCTTTCAATTAATACAAATTCAAAAGTGAGGTCTGTCTTAATAATATTAATAATAAATTAATATAGCGCAGCTTTTATTCAAAATATATTCAGCTGCACTACTAGACCGGGAGCCAGGGGGGGGGGGGGGGGGGGGGTCAACCTAGCTGGGAAGGAAACCAATTTTCATGTGCACAGATGTAAATATCGCATACCTTCACATAACAAATTGACCGTCTGGCATGTTGTAAGTGGTGGGTGTGGCCAGGGGGACGCCCCCAACCAAAAAAGTGGCCCTTTTGACGACAAAATAGTATTTTGTAAATAATATTTTAAGGAAACCTTGAACCACCATGAGTTTGGTGTCATATGAAAGAGAGTTAAATTATCTACATTTTGATATCAATTTTAAAGAATTTGGGATTAATTAACATCGCAAATTTAAGTAAAAAACATGATTTTTGTGATTTTTTTCGAAAAATTGAATTTTACCAAAAAACATTATTTTCCATATATCAAAATTGAAAAATCAATTTTTTTTAATAACTTTCCAGGAATTTGCATATGTACAACGACAATATCCTGTGCGAGGGAGAGGTTTATATATCATTTCTATAAAAAGTTATAGCAATCCAAAGTTATTGATTTGATTTCCACAAAAACAACATTTTTGCCCACATGTGTATAAACTGTATGCATATACGTGCATTAGTGTATTAAGGACCTGTTTGGTGTGTTTACATCGAGTTTTAAAGATAACTTTGAACTAAAACCTCTAATCACCATGTATTTGGTGTCAAAAGATGGATAATTAAAATACCTTCATTCTGATATCAATTTCAATGAGTGATGTAATGTGTGAAATATAAATTTTGAGCCAAAAAGGTGCTTTATTGTAGATATTCCTCTGATTTTGGCCAGTATATCGGTATATTACTGTAACTGGACAAAAGTAATAAGACATTTAGTGGTGCAGAAAGTTCAAAGGATTTGGAGCACTGAGTGCAATTGATAAGGTTCTTCTTCTGTACTCTGGGATGTTTGAGGAAATGGGGACATTGGCAGTTGCCTCTCCCCCCCCCCCCCACCCGGCACCCCGCCCCCTTCCAGCCGTTTGTCATACATGTAATCTTGCCCATGCCCAAGATAAGTTAGTGCATCGATCAACATGAATATAATATAATATTGCCATATTTGGTTAATGCCCTTGCCTCTCCCTCCACCCCCCCCCAACCCGCCCCCAAAAGGGGGGAGGAAGGGAAAGGGAAAGAGGAGAGCTAAAAGGGAACAAAAACAGGAAGAAGAAAAGAAAAGGGTGAAAAGAAGGAGGAACAGTTGTGATTAATCCCGCCAAAAACGTGTGGATCGAAGGGGGGAGGCGAAAAACTCTCCCCCCCCCCCCATCAAACTTAAAACAGAGAGAAGAATGGGAAGGGAAAGGAAAAGAGTGGAGAAAGGGAAAGAAAAAAAAGAGAAAAAGAAAGGATCAGTTGCGATTTTCCCCGCCAACAAGGTGTAGATCGGGGGGCCAGGGGGAGGGCCACTGGCGTACTGATGGGGGAGGGGGCTTGGGGGAGACAGATCCTCCCAAGTATAATTGAAACGTGGTTTATTTCTAAATCGATACCGCTGATTTACAAATGTTGCTGAAATAAAGAAAAACAAATCCGAAATTTTTACTTAATATGTAGTACATTATCATTTTTGATGCGTTTGTTGGAAAATGGCAAATTCTCCAACATCAAATTGCAATTGATAAGTTCTTCTTCTGTTGTTTGAGGAAATGTGGGCATTGGCAGTTGCCTCTCCCCTCTCCCATCCCCACCCCGCCCTTTCCAGCCGCTTGTCATAATCTTGCCCATGCCCCAGCCAAGTTAGTGCATCGATCAACTATTGCCATAGTTGGTTTAATGGTTTACTAAGAAAACACGTGT